CCTGTTTTATAATGTGTTGAAAGTGTTTATTTCCTGGGCTGCTTCTTGCTAAAGTATCTACCTGTGTTTGAGTTACTGAGATTGAGGGCTGAATGTTCATAGTTTGTGACTTGCATTTAGCCAGTATACCTATTTTCTGTGGCACGCTAAATGCTGGAAATACATATTGAAACATCACATTGTACCTAATAAATATATGTGATTATTATTTGTAATTTAAAACAAAATATAGGCCCAGACAAATAGATCAGCTGATTGGAGCACCTGCGAGCAGGCAGAGGGGCTGGGGGTTTGATCGCTGGGCCTGCCGCGCTGGCCCCACCCACAGGGAGTACAGAGGCTATGACTGAGGCTGACCTTGGTGGCGCATGCCTGTAATCCCAGCTCTTGGGAGGCTGTAAGCTGGTGAATCGTTATGAGTCTGATCTAGTAGTGAGATCCTAAACACTCGATAGGCCCTTCCCTAAATTACTATAATTTAAAAGAATTAACAAATATTTCACTTGAGGCTGGTGTAGCTTTGATTCTTTTCATTTGAGCATGAAGTCTCTAGAAGGCTTCCATATAAGGCAAAACGCTATTCCCAGCCACACTCTTCCTTAAACTTTGGCAATGTCGCCTCATGAGCCAAACATGAGGCTGTTACGCTTGCAGACTTAATACTCAAGATCCACTTTAGCAAAAATTCTTTCTTACTAATACACTGAGGTGTGTGTGTGTGTGTGTGTGTGTGTGTGTGTGTGTGTGTGTGTAGGCCTCTAGTCCATGGCCAGGTATATTTAGTGTTTATTTTTACCATTAAGACAAATGAGGGTTTGAGAGTTTTATAATTCATTACAGTTACATCTGTAGGATGAGGATGATTCAAGATTTGAACTCAGTTTGGACATAACGTGATGCAGTTACACTGTGTTTTTGTGGATGAATGTGCTAGGAATGATCCGAAAAAAAAAAAAAAAAAAAAAAAAACTAGAGAAAATGTTAAATTGAAATTAGGAGTTTGCTAATTCTTTTTGACACTTTCTTCAACTTAGATAATGTATCATTCACTCTGTACTTGTGCTTTTTTCTTTATTTCTAATGCTAAATTCCCATACAGGGAATAAGGTGAAAGGCCCATCACCAGTCACCTAGACTGTTGTTTTTGACGGATCATTTTTTAGAGGAGCAAAGTGATGTTTCCTAACTACAGTCTGCCTGCCTGCTGGTGGGACTTTGGCCTCTTACATCGCATAGTCATCTCCTTCTAAGGAGAAAAGTTAGACCACAGCCAAGGGCAGCTGTCCCAGGGCTCCCATACGAGGTGCTGGCTTCCTAGAGTGTGCTGTGATTATAGCAGCTTAGCTAGCTCCTTCAGAACATGCAGCAATCTCCACAGTGAAGCTAGAATCAGAAATGCAACCGTGGACTACTGCCCCACCTTCAGCAGGCACGCTCTCCCTCAGGTCGATGGTTCCTGGGTGTTGAAGGCAGGGAGGAAACCAGAAGTATTACGATGGACTCAAGTCTTGTGTCTACCATATCGTTTCTCCTAGATGCTTGGGTTAGGTACTTACCTGCTCCTGAACTGTAAAAAGAAAAAATTACCTTTGCCACATAACTCCCAGAATTGTCCTTACAAATGGCAGTTATCATTTTATAATCACTCAAAATAAAGTTTGTTTTGAGGCATGTCCTTGGCTAGTTTGCAGGAGCTACTACCTAAATTCAGACAAATGAAAGACAGTTCGAGGAGCTGCGGTTGAAGTCTGGTCCCTCTGAGATGCAGTTACCTGAAGTCACGCTGAACGCCAGAAGCTATTGCACGAGAACCAAGAGAGATTTAAAAACCGAGCTCGCAGGGGACGTCCCCCAGGAGAGCATCGGCAGCTTCTCTCGCCTCTTTCCTGGGAAGAAACAAACTGCCTGTGGGGACTTAATTGGGTGTTTTGAATATATACCTATACTTTGTTAATTACTTATTCATGTACAAAACACAATCAGCAATATACTCAACGTATGATTTTTCAATATCTGTTAAATATATAGTCATATAACTGCTATGCAAATATCATGAGTTTTTTTATTGTTAATATCTTTCGTATGAAGTTTCCTGGGGATTACTGAAGAATCTTTTCCCTATCAGTTTGCCTTTCTAAATGTGACCTTCATTCGAGTACTAGAGTTATCATCTCTGACAGTCATGTCATTTATGTAGCATAACCTTGGTTGTGCTACACTTATTTTGCTACATATATTTATAGCTAAGTATTTTTACTTTGCTGTAATATTACAAAAATGAACTTTATACATTTTTTAATTCTTTGGTTCAAGTCAACTTTTCTTTTTTCTTTTTTTTTTTTTTTTTTCATTTTTTGATAAAGGTCTGTGGGGTCTCACTTCATAGATCGGACTTGTAGTGATCTGCCTGTGTTTAGTCTCCCAAGACCTGGGATTACAGACACGTGCCACAATGTCCAGTCTCAGTTGCCCTCTCAGCAAGCCCTGAGGGCGGTGCCAGCACGGCAAGCCGGGCATCAAACCCAGATGCTGGGTCTGCCTAAGCAGGCACTTTAATCCACTGATCTTTTGGCTGGCCCAGGTACAGTTTTCTTGATAGGCATATAAAATTTGAAATGACCATTAAATATTCTTAAAAAGTTTTAGTTTTATAGCACCAAGGAAATCTCTCTTTAAATTTTATCAGATAATTTGAAAGGACCACCATATTTGATTTCTTGTATGATCACATTCAGAGGCCCCTCATCACAAGATTGGCTCTACCCATTTCTTAGTATCTAACAGCCATACAAAGAGGAGGACATAATATTTATATACAGAATTTCCAAATTCATCTTGTGTATCTTTGAATGTTTTCAAATAAAAGCTAATCCACAACTTTATCCTCAGAATGGGAATTGTGATTAGTCAAAAATGTCTTCAATGCAAAATTTTCAGTGAAATTCAATGCATTATAATTTAAACTCTAAATTTCACAATTTAAAAAGCTATGAACTACACAACTTAGATATACATGATCAAACATAGACTTACATTTGCAAGTATTAAAGTATTTGATATATATTGATAGCAAAATTAGGAATTAACTGAAATTGTACTTTCAATGCAACCAATTCCATTGTTATAATGATAAGTATATGGTACAGCATACTTAACAGAATTAATTTCCCGTGCTCTGTAAATATTCGGCAAATTCATAAGTGAACAAATACAAATGAATCAATGATGTCTTATAGCCTGAAAGTCTTGTCTCTTGCTTGACATATGTAGAAAAAATTGAGCTTCCAGGCACATTCTATTGGGTTAGTATGAAGTAGGAGTCAGTTCCTATTTCTCT